AAAATACACACACACACACATTTTTGAATTGCAGTCTCACTCTGTCGCCCAGACTGGAGTGCAGTGGCATGCTGCTCACAGACACCGCAGCCTCAATCTGCTGGGCTCAAGCATCCCTCCGCTTCAGCTTTCCAAGTAGCGGGAACGACAGGCACACGCCACTATGCCCAGCTAATTTTCTGATTTACTGTAGAGATGAGGAGGTCTTGTCAAGTTGCCCAGTCTGGTCTTGAACCCTTAAGCTCAGGCAGTCCTCTCACATGTGCCTACCAAAGTGCTGGAATTACAGGTGTGAGCTACCACCCCAGCTAAAATAACTTGTAAAATGCTCAAGTTTGGTATAATAAACAATTTACATTTTGCTGCAACTAGACCATTATACTAAAGTGGGCAATATAATATTGTTTCTTGATAAAACAATCAATGTGCTTTAAACACTACAGATGCACCATTAAAGTAAAAACCAAGCATTTCTTCAAATATTTTTGTGGTTGATGATATTGTTTTGCTGTTAAGAAATGAAATGGTTTCAGCCTTCAATGTTTAAAATATAAATTTTTCCATGCCAGAATTTGAAATGGCTAAAAAATACATGCATATGTATGTGCATATATATAAGTTTACACATTCAAACTACAAATCAACCAGCTTAGACATTTGAGAATTTTTCCCTTGTCCAAATCTTATGACATACTTATCTGTAAAAAGGAAGAATTTTTAAAGACTACAAATATAATTAACAATAATTCTGAGGTATTATTTGCATCATTTTCTTAATATGTCACACAGAGATTGCTGTAGTGACACGAGTGACCATGACAGTCATCTCAAGCTGCTAGGGCATTGGTTCTAATAGGATTCTGCCCGGGTCACATGGTAGAATAGAATGTGAGAGCTTGCCCCGAGTTCAAATCCAGAACTCTAGCTGGGTTAGCTTTGGACAAGTTAGTTAACCACCCTGAACCTAAGTTTCCTAAACAGAAAAATTAAGCATAAGATGTAAGGATTCTTTTTTTTTTGAATAGGAGTCTTACCACACCCGGCCTGGCTTCAGGATTCTAAATCATACCATGTAAAGTGCCTGGCATACAGTATCCACTGACAACAGTCATTGTATTAGCTACCAAGATGGTGAATCAGGCATAGACTACCCACACCAAGAACTGTATCAGCCGGGCTTGGTGGCTCAGCCTGAATCCCGCGCTTTGGGAGGCCAAGGTGAGTGAATTGCCTGAGCCTGTGGATTCAAGACCCACCTGGGCAACTTGGCGAGACCTTGTCTCTACAATAAATAAAAAAAAATTAGCCAGGTGTGGTAGCACGCACCTGTAGTTCCAGCTACTTGGAAGGCTGAGGCAGAAGGATCACCGGAGTCCAGCAGGTCGAGGCTGTGGTGGCCGGGAGTGTGCCACTGCATCCAGTCTGGGCAACGGAGTGAGACACCAACTCAAAAAACAAAAAAAAACTGCATCTATGCTCATCAAATGCTTGATGGACTTGGTTCAGACTCCACTTATTTTTCAAAGATAATTTATGACCATTTGATATCAACTTTTATTTTTTAATTTTTTAACTTAAAACAAATTTTTAGAAAAGGTAATAGTCTCCTATAGCACAAAATTCAAAAAGCTACAAAGAAAAAGGTAAATATTTTAAGTGTATAATCAACATATGACCCAATGCTTGCTTCTCATCAATTTATTTATTTTTATTTATTTATTTTTGGCTGGAGTACCATGGCACACTCATGGCCACCCCAGTGTCAACTTGCTAGCTCCAGCGATCCTTCTGCCTCAGTCTTCCAAGTAGCTGGAACTACAGGCGCGTGCTACCATGCCCAGCTAACTTTTTAAAAATTTATTTATTGTTGAGACGAGGTCTTGCCAAGTTGCCCAGGCGGATCTTGAACCCACGGGCTCAGGCAATCCACTTGCCTCGGTCTCCCAAAGCACTGGGATTACAGGCTGAGCCACTGAACATGGCTGTTTCTATCAATTTAAACAACAGAATTACTGCTTTGTTTTTATACTGTTATCTCTTCTTTTTTTTTCTTTTTTTGAGTTGGAATCTCACTCTGTCGCCCAGACTGGAGTGCAGTGGCCGCTCCCACCCACCGCAGCCTCAACCCGCTGGGCTCCGGCGATCCTTCCGCCTCAGCCTTCTGAGTAGCTGGAACTACAGGCGCGCACTACCACACCCGGCTAATTTTTTATTTATTTTGTTTGTTAGTTTGTTTTTGTTTTTGAGTTGGAGTCTCACTCTGTCGCCCAGACTGGAGTGCAGTGGCCGCTCCCGGCCACCGCAGCCTCGCCTGCTGGGCTCCGGCGATCCTTTTGCCTCAGCCTTCCAAGTAGCCGGAATTACAGGCATGCGCTACCACGCCCAACTAATTTTTTGATTTATTGTAGAGATGAGGTCTCGCCAAGTTGCCCAGGCGGGTCTCGAACCTGTGGGCTCAGGCAATCCACTCACCTCAGCCTCCCAAAGGCACGGGATTACAGGCTGAGTCACCGAGCCTGGCTTATCTCTTCTTTTTTATTTTACTTTTTTGTAGAGACAGGATTTCGCTATGTTGCCCAGGCATATTGTGAACTCCTAGGCTGGAGTGATTCCCCCCATTTTGGCCTCCAAAGTGCTGAGATTACAGGTGTCTGGCCATTTCTTTTTCCTAAAAGTTCAACATTTATCGTAATTTTTATCCCTTCCCTCAGAGATGTGAATTACATTATAGGTCAACCCTGGCATGTACAATTCCTCACAAATTACTACTGACAACTCAAATGCTATTGGAGAAGTCAACTGCTCAATTCTTTTTTCCTTAAATTCAGTATCTATGTAAATTGTTTCATGTGTTATCCCACAAATCCAAACTACACTCAAATAAGAACAAAGGATCAATAAATGAAGTTTTAGGAAAGTTAAGCATCTCTGATTTTGTAAAAATAAGACTCCCAAGTATAATTTTATTATAAGGAAATTTCTGAACCATGAATTCAACAAATGCAATCTTAGTTTACTTACTGACAACTTTTTCATAAAATCAAAACAAATATAGGTAGAATAACATGTTCTATTTAAAAGCACCAGAAATACCTCATATTAGTTCATTACTCTATCTCCAGTATCTAGCATAATGCCTGGCATATGACAGACACAATTAATTATCGTAAGACTGCCATGCATGGTGGCTCGCATGTAATCCCAGCTACTTGGGAGGCTGAGGCAGGAAGACCACTTGTGCCCAGGAGTCCTAGACCAGCCTGCAACACAACGAAACTTTACCTCTAAAAAAATTTTTTTTTTTTTTGCCGGGCTCAGTGGCTCAGACTGCAATCCTGCGCCTTTGGGAGGCTGAGGTGAGTGGATTGCCTGAGCCCACGGGTTCGAGAGCCGCCGGGGCAGCAAGACCTCATCTCTACAATAAATCAAAAAATCAGCCGGCGTGGTAGCACATGCCTGTAATTCCGGCTACTCAGAAGGCTGAGGCGGCAGGATCGCCGGAGCCCAACACGTGGAGGCTGCGGTGGCCGGGAGCGGCCACTGCACTCCAGCCTGGGCGACAGAGTGAGACACCAACTCAAAAAAAAAAAAAATTTTTTTTTAATTAGCCAGGCACATTGGGAGGCCAAGGTGAGAGGATTGCCTGAGCTCAGGGGCTCAACACCAGCCCGGGCAACCTGGTGAGACTTCATCTCTACAATAAATCAAAAAATTAGCCGGGCACAGTGCGCACGCCTGTAGTTCTGGCTACTTGGAAGGCTGGCGTGGAAGGATCACCGGAACCCAGCAGGGCAAGGCTGCGGTGGCCGGGAGTGTGCCACTGCACTCCAGCCTGGGAAACAGAGTGAGACTCCGACTCAAAAAAAAAAAAAAAAAAAAGAAAAGCCGGGTTCAGTGGCTCAGCCTGTAAACCCGCGCTTTGGGAGGCTGAGGTGAGTGGACTGCCTAAGCCTGCGGGTTCAAGACCTGCCTGGGCCACTTGGCGAGACCTCATCTCTACAATAAATCAAAAATTAGCTGGGCGTGGTAGTGCGCGCCTGTAGTTCCGGCTACTTGGGAGGCGGAGGCGGAAGGATCGCTGGAGCCCAGCAGGTTGAGGCTGCGTGGCCGGGAGCGGCTACTGTACTCCGGTCTGGGTGACAGAGTGAGACTCCAACTCCAAAAAAAAAGAAAAAAGAAAAAAGAAAAAAGAATAAAACTAGCTGGGTGTAGTGGTGTGCACTTGTAGTCCTAGCCACTTGGGAGGCTGAGGCAGGAGGCTCACTGGAGCTCACGGATTCAAGGTTGCAATGAGCTGTGATCACAACACTGCACTCCAGCCTGAGCAACAGAGAGAAACTCCCATCTCTAAAACAAATTTTGTAAATAACATTTTAAAATAACTGTAGAACCAGCGAGTGACATTCTGAAAAGAAGTCAAAACTGACAAAATACAAGTTATTTATTTTAGAGGTTTAATGTGAATTAAACTACCAATAACCGCAAACCATTGGCAATGTCTGTTACTGTCATTCTAGTCTCACTTTCCCTCTTCACTATCCCCTCAGCAAGGAAACTGAGTTGCTATGAGGCAGAGAGAGTTAGAACGAGGGATACTATGCTTTCATGATGCTGAGTTTGTTTTTATGTGTTTTTTTTCTTGAGTTGGAGTCTCACTTTGTTGCCTAGTCTCACGGCCACCCCAGCATCAACCTGTGGGGCTCTGGCGATCCTTCTGCCTCAGCCTTCCAAGCAGCGGAACTACAGGCATGCGCTACCATGCCCAGCTAATTTTTGATTTATTGTAGAGACGAGGTCTTACCAAGTTGCCTGGGCTGGTCTCAAACCTGCAGACTCAGGTAATCCACTCGCCTCTGCCTCCCAAGGTGCTGGGATTACAGGCTGAGCCACCGAGCCCCGCCCATGTTGCTGAGTTTTTAAAACGTGACTACTTTGAAAAATAATACAGCATTAGAAACAGCCATGCTCTTAGTATGGGGAGTCCATGTTTTCCTGCTTACCGATGACCTGACTTTGGCGGCATCCACTCGCTCATAAACCGGAGTGCAGTACACAATCAGTATGAGCAGGCTGAGAAGGAAGGCGCTGCAGCTCACAAACTCAAAAAAGTAAAGGCCCCCGCACAGGGTGCACTGCGACACGACCTCTTCACAGACGAAGGCCAGCAAAGACAGCAGCTGCAAGAGAAGCAAAACATCCCACTTCAGTGTTCTTCAGAAAGCACACCTGTTCACGCAGACGTTTACAACGTGGAGACCATGGCAAACAAGATTCGTGAATAAACCCCATCTGTGCCGAACTTATGGTCTGGCCGCCTTGAAGGAAATACGGGGCAACAAATAACAGATAACTGAATGCCAGGAGAGGGGAAAGCCAGGGGTGTCTTCAAAACACAGGGGAGGCACTCGACTCGAGGGTCAGGAAAGGCTTCCCGAGGGAAGGTTGAAGGGTGGGGGGTCAGTTTCGGGAGAGGTGGGGAGAGAGGTTCCCAGCAGAGCAGTCCACAGAAAGGCCAAGATGAGGGGACATGAGACCCCGGCCACAACACACACACACACACACTCCCTCCTTCCCCACCCGCTCCCTCTCTCTCCCCCCACCTCCCGCTCTCTCTCCCTCTCCCCCTCCCACCACCCACCCCGAATGAACGTGGAAGCGAGTTAAATCAACATGGCTAAAATGTCGTGTTTGAGAGGCGGGAATAGCAGCACAAAGATGATCGCACGCGACCAGGGAGGCAAGCCAAGGCCACGTCTAGCCCTACGCATTCGCAGTTCAAAGGTCTGGATTCTAAGAGCTTTGAAGCGACATGGTCAGGTCTATGCTTCTGGTGGTTCTCGCTGGCTACTACGTGGAGAAGGGACTGGAGGTGGGGCGAAAACCTGGCATGGACACACAGCCGGGCCGTTGATGTAGGAAATCTGGGAAGAGACAGTGTCCACGCAGCGGCCATGGAGAGAGGAGCAGCCCAGAGAGAGGCACAACGGCGCTCACCAGCAGGACGGGCACGAGTCAGGGACACTCGAGGTGACACAAGTGCACCTTCAACACCTCGACTTAGAAGAGAAGGGCACACTTGCTCACCATGCTCTGAGGCGGGTCTTTCCTCCCAGGTAGAACTCCACATCCTGTTTTTGCTTCAGTCACTTTTGTCACCTGCGGACTGCCACTTCCAGACTGTTATCTGAAGTGGAGTAAGACCCTGGACACTCGAGGACAGAGTGCAGAATTTTCTAGTGGGACAAGTTTTACCAGCTGTTTACAGTTGCCTTGCTCTTACTTAATTCCACAGCAGACAAATATTTTCCAGTTACTCAGGATGCTGAGATGGGAGAATCACTTGAGCCCAGGAGGTCGAGGCTACGGTGAGCCATAATTACCACTGCACTCAGCCTGGGTGACAGAGGGAGATCCTGTCTCAAAGAAAGAAAAACACTAAAACACCGACATCAGCCTGAGCTTTGAGAAGGTTGCTGGTGACACCGGCAAGGAAAGTCCCAGGGTAGTCAAGCAGGGAAGCCACAGGACAGTACTGTTTGCTGGGAAGTGAGGGGGGACAAGGTGGTGGCATAAAAGTAGCATGGGCAAGACGGGAGGCTAGGAAAAATGCTAGATGGGCAGAAGAGGGTGAATTCCAGGATGACAGACAACGCAGCATGTTTAAATGCTCGGGCAGAAACCAGCAGGATGGGTAGGTCTAAAGACAGGTAGAAAAATGGCTCTCAGCCGGGCTCGGTGGCTCAGCCTGTCATCCCACGCCTTTGGGAGGCTGAGGTGAGTGGATGGCCTGAGCCCACAGGTTCGAGACCCGCCTGGGCGGCGAGACCTCATCTCTACAATAAATCAAAAAATCAGCCGGGCGTGGTAGCGTGCGCCTGTAATTCCAGCTACTCGGAAGGCTGAGGCGGAAGGATCGCCGGAGCCCAGCAGGTCGAGGCTGCGGCGGCCGGGAGCGGCCACTGCACTCCAGTCTGGGCGACAGTGAGACTCCAACTCAAAAAAAAAGAAAAATGGCTCTCTAAAGGCAGGACTCAGGCTCGGGTTTGGAGCTACGCCTTCTCTAGAAAGAGGAGGGGAGCACGTGGCTCACTTGGGAAGTTTGTGTGGCTTTTGTGGAAGCTGAGGGAGTTTCCTTCTGAGCGCCCAAACCATCAAGTGATCGACAGCCCTAGCCAAAGGTGAATGGGAAAGGCCGTCCCACAGTCAGGCCGGTAGCTTGAAGCAACGGGACACATGAATGGCACCAAGACTGCTACCAAAATCCACAGACGCATGTCAGAGCATACAATTAACACTGTAGCCTATGGAACATTTCCGTTAAGAGGCAATGGTGCAGTCACTCTGGAGAACCGAGCAGCAGTTTCTTCGAGACTAAGCATGCGTCTACCTTATGGCCCAGCCACAGCACTCACGGGCATGTATTCCAGAGAAACGAAAACTTACATGCATGCAAAAACAGATACACGGATGTTCCTATGTTATTCACAATAGCCCCAAACTAGAAACAGCCCAGATACCTTCAATGATTAAACAAACCGTGACACATCCATACCATGGAATATTAGCAATAACAGGAACAGATCTGATATACACAATGACCTAGATTTCCAGAGAATCATGCGAAGTAAGAAAAACCCAATCTCAAAAGGTTACATACTATAGGATTCCATTTACCGAGCATTCTTCGAATAACAAAAATTACAGCGATTGTGAACAAGTCAGTGGTGGTCAGGGGAAAGAGGAAAGGCGTGGTTGTCAAGGGGTAACACAGGGAAGCTCTGCTACGACAGAACAGCTCAGGAATGATTGTGGTGGTGATTATGGGAAGCTATCCAAACGTGTGAGAAAATTCCACTGAAACACACACACACACACACAAATTAGTGCATGGGCCCTCTCTATGCTTTTTTTTTTTTTTTTTGCAACTTCCTGTGAATCCATAATTATTTCAAAATGAAAAGTTTTTTAAAAGTCAAATCTAAATTGGTATCTAAGCTGCTAAGGAATTTCCCTCCTCCTACTGGTAATATGAAATTGATATATCCCTCAAACTGAAAAGAATTCATATAATGAAAATAGAGAGGCTGGGCTCGGTGGCACAGTCTGTAATCCCACCACTTTGGAAGGCTGAAGCAAGTGGATAGCCTGAGCCCTTGGGTTCGAGGCCAGCCTGGGCAACTTGGCAAGACCTCATCTCTACAATAAATCAAAAATTAGCCGGGTGTAGTAGCGCATGCCTGTAGTTCCAGCTACTTGGAAGGCTACAAAAATGTTTTTAAAAATTAGCTAGGGCTGGGCACGGTGGCTCAGCCTGTAATCCTAGCATTTTGGGAGGCCGAGGCGAGAGGATTGCCTGAGCCCGGGGTTTTGAGATCAGCCTGGGCAACTTGGTGAGACCTCGTCTCTACACTAAATACAAAAATTAGCTGGGCGTGGTGTCATGCATCTGTAGTTTCAGCGTCTGTAGATCCTCAGGTGGCAACATTGCCTGAGTCCAACAGGTTGAGGCTGTGGTGGCCGTGGGCGTGCCACTGCACTCCAGCGTGGCCCACAGAGTGAGACTCCAACTCAAAAAACCCCCCAAAAAATTAGCTGGGTGTGATGGTGCACGCCTGTAGACCCAGCTACTTGGGAGGCTGAGGCAGAAAATCGCTGGTGCCCAGGAGTTTGAGGCTGCAGTGAGTTGTGATCATGCCACTGTACTCCAGCCTGGGTGACTGAGACTCGACTCAAAAGTAAAATAAAATAAAATAAAATAAAATAAAATA